CTCAGATGGGATTGAACCCAGCTGAAACTCACACTTGGATTTGAACCCATGGGCTGGGACTTTTACTCAGCCAAAACTCTGACTGGGACTCAAACCCACTGTCTTTTAATTAAAATTGCTCACCTGGTGTCAGGACTTACTGAAGCTCAGGTTCTTTATGTCTCAGCCCAGAAGGAATTCAGCGAGAGGCAATGCGATACAGAAGACGTGGATTATTTAGAGAGGTACAACATCCCATAGACAGAGTGCAGTCCATCTCAAAAAGTGAGAGCAGTGGTGGGAGAAACACACTCCACAGAGTGTGAGCCATCTCAGAAGATGAGAGGCCCTGAAATATGGGGTAGATGGTTTTTGTGGGCTGAGTAATTTCATAGGCTAGTGAGTGGGAGGATTATTCAACTGTTTTGGGGAAGGGATGGGGATTTCCAGGAATTGGGCCACTGCCCACTTTTTGGCCTTTTATGGTCTGCCTTGGAACTGTAGGTGCCTGTAGGTGTGTCATTTGGCATATGCTAATGTATTACAATGAGCATATAATGAGGCTCAAGCTCTACTGGACGGTGAATCTTCTGCCATCTTGGACCTAGTTGATTCTAACCAGTTTATGTCATATCCTCAATGGCTATGTCATTCTTTTTGTTTGTTTGTTTTTTGGCTGCACCACACGGCTTGCAGGATCTTAGTTCTCCGACCAGGGATTGAACCCAGGCCACAGCAGTTGAAGCCCAGAATCCTAACCACTAGGCCACCAGGGAACTCCTGGCCGTGTCATTCTTTTAAAGGTTGCACCCTGCCCCCTTCCCTCCTATTTCACTACGACTAGCACTTAATGAACAAGTAGCCTCAACTACAATTGCACTAACACCTAGCCTGACAAAGATGTAGTGACAGTGGAATGAAATAATGCAGAAACATTTTGCACAGTAAAGTATGGTTCACGGGGCTTCCCTGGTGGCGCAGTGGTTGAGGGTCCACCTGCCGATGCAGGGGACACGGGTTCGTGCCCCGGTCTGGGAAGATCCCACATGCCGCGGAGCGGCTAGGCCTGTAAGCTATGGCCGCTGAGCCTGCGCGTCTGGAGCCTGTGCTCCACAATGGGAGAGGCCACAACAGTGAGAGGCCCGCGTACTGCTGGGCCTCTGCTGCCCGCATCAGCAGGCGGACTCTCAACCACTGCGCCACCAGGAAAGCCCTATTTTTTTATTATAGCTACATCTGAGTAAATGGGGTAACTGGCAAGACCAAGAAGTTTCTTTGCTATACTTTTTTCATCATAAAATAAGCTCCTTAGTCAGAAACAATGTGTGAGATACCATGAAAATGAATAAGGTATACATGAATGCTAGGGCTGGCGGAAACATTGCAGTTAGGTATTATTAGGGTTCTTCAGGAAAACAGAACCAATAGGATATATAGAGATATTAGGATACTATAACAGAATACCATATACTGAGTGGCTTATAAACAACAGAAGTTTATTTCTCACAGTTCTGGAGGCTGGGAAGTCCAAGGTCAAGGTCCTGGCAGATTCAGTGTCTGGTGAGAGCTCACTTCCTGGTTCATAGTTAGCTGTCTTCTCTCCGTGTCTCGCATGGTTGAAGAGGCAAAGGGGCTCTCTGGGGTCTGTTTTATAAGGGCACTAACCCCATTCATGAGGGCTCCATCCTCAGGACCTAATCACCTCCGAAAGGCCTGACCTCCTAATACCATCACATTGAGGATTAGGATTTCAACATATGAATTTGGAAATGGAGGTGGGGGGGTGGGGGGTGACACAAACATTGTCTATAGCAGTAGGAAAGTCAAATCTGAATCTGGGATATGTATCTATTCCTATGTGGTTAAATCACCACTCCCTCCCTGATGGAAAGGATAAAGCATATGGTAGCATGATTTGTAAAAAATGGCCCCAATTTTTCCTCTCTCTGTATGTAAATCCTTTGAAGTGTAGCTCTAGAGCTGCTTCCATTAAGAGATGGAATCTGTATCCCCACTCTTTGAATTGGGCTGCCCTTGTGCCTGGCCAGTAGAATACAGCAGAAGTTACAGTGTGCTAGTTTTGAACCTAGGCCTCAAGGTCCACCCACATACCAGTTCTTCAGGTCTTTTGTTTGATTTTGGAAACCTACCATTGCCATGAGAATAAGTCCAACCTAATCTACTGGAGAGTGAATGACCACATGGAACAAGGCCAAGCTGACCCAGCTGAGGCTATTTCAGACCAGCCTCACCCCAGCTGATCCCCCATCTGACTACAGATGCATGAGTGGGATCAAATAAGACCAGAAGAACTGCCCAATTTATAGGCTATGAGAAATAATTAATGGTTATAGTTTTAAGGTATTAAGTTTGGGGGTCAAGAGGTTGTCATGTGGTTAGACAATTCCTAAGCTGCTAACTTCCATAGAGTCAGCTGGTAAGGAGAAAACAAGCCCAAATAGATTTAGGCAGCTTATCATTCACAGCATAGCAGGCAGCATGAATTTCATGTTTGTATTAGTTCTCCTTGCCCTCTAAACACCATGGGAGTAATGCAGGTGAATGCCATGCACAGTAGATCTGTAACACAGATGAAGAACACTGAGCTTAGGAAACGCTCAATCTTAAAGAAGGAATGCTAGCAAACCTGCCCTCTGGAGAGAGACAATATCAGTTTTTTTTCCCCCAACATTATCTTTATTATACCGGTCAGGAAACAAATTTTCCTGCCAACCCAGTGGGAAACATTTTTATCACCCTGAAATGTCTCCAGGATTGGAGAGTGAAACTAGCTTTATTACCCTGTAATGAAATAAATCTGCATCCTAACCCTAGGCAGCTTTGCAAACATCCTCAAAGCTGTCAATGCCATTTGCTTAGAAATGCCAGCATTTCTCCCAACAGTCTGTTGCAGTGCAATACAGCTAACTGATTTGCAGGATTATCTGCCTACCACCAAGAAGTATCTAGTCCCCCGGTGGGAATAATACCATATCAGGGACTCAGTGTTGGTCTCTGCTGTTGGACATTCATCATTGACCAGATCAGCTTTGGCAAGAGGAACTATACCACAGAGCCCACGCACAGACTCCATCCCTACCATCATGGCCACCTTTCTCATGACTCCGTTGAGCTCTGGGGAAAGAGGCTGACTGGCACGCACAGGTTTTTTTGTTTGTTTGTTTTTATATTTATTTATTTAGGTTGCGCCGGGTCTTAGTTGTGGCATGCAGGATCTTTTTTTAGTTGCGGTATGTGGACTTCTTAGTTGCAGCACGCATGCGGGATCTAGTTCCCCGACCAGGGATCGATCCGGGGTACCCCCCGCATTGGGAGCACGGAGTCTTACCCACTGAACCACCAGAAAAGTCACAGGAATGCACAGTTTGGATCATTTTGTCCATTTATTTTTTGAAAGCCTCTTCTAGAATGGGTGCCCTCTGGTGGGCATTCATAGGAAACACAAATATTTTCACCATTCCAAGACATTCATCTACATACCAACATCCCAGGCCTTCTTGTCCCCAATCTTCCACTCTCATACTTTCCAAGGCTTTGGCCAACCAGGAAGGGGCCTGGACATGCAGTACCTAGAGATCAGTCTTCCAGGACACTGAGCACAGCAGAAAAGGGAAAAGAATGAATGGAAAGGGGGGCAGGGAAGACAAGGAAAATAAGTAGAAGGAAAAAAAAAAGAGGTGCTCTAAGAAGTATAAGAAGAGGTATAAGAAGAGGTGCTCTAAGAAAAAGAGGTGCTCTAAGAAAAGAGGTGCTCTAAGAAAAAAAAAGAGGTGCTCTAAGAAAAAAAAAAGAGGTGCTCTAAGAAAACAATGAGACCTGAAAACCTGGCACAGTGCCATGAAGTAGGGTGTCTCCATGAGGGCAACCTCAAAGGTTTTACTGTGTGTTTTTCCTTTGGATTATAGTGACAGTTATATTTAGCATTCAGTTTTAAGTTTTTCTCCTCTGACTCTATAATTTTCTTTAGTTAATCCCAACAGATCTGAAAAGCCACATATACCCCTACAAATAAATAGAGGTGGTGTTTCTTTTTTTTTTGAGGTATAGTTGATTTATAATTTTATATTAGTTTCAGGTGTACAGCATAGTGATTCAATATTTTTATAGATTATACTCCATTTAAAGTTATTACAAAATAATGGCTATATTTCCCTGTGTTGTACAATATATCCATGTTGTTTATTTATTTTATACATAATAGATTTTATCTCTTAATCCTATACCCTTTTTTTTTTTTTTACCCTTTGGCCACACTGCACAGCATGAGGGATCTTAGTTCCCCCAACCAGGGACCAAACCCACACCCCCTGCAGTGGAAGCAAGGAGTCTTAACCACTGGACCACCAGGGAAGTCCTTCCCATACCTCTATCTTGCCCCTCCCCCTTCTTCTCCCCACTCATAATCACTAGCTTGTTCTTTATATCTGTGAGTCTGTTTCTGCTTTGTTATATACATTTGTTTGTGCTAGTTTTTAGATTCCACATATAAGTGATAACAGAGAGTATTTGTGTTTCTCTGTCTGACTGATTTCACTAAGCATAACACCCTCTAAGTCCATCCACATTGTTGCAAATGGCAGAATTTCGATTTTTTATGTCTAAGTAGTATTCCATTGTATATATACACACATATCTTCTGTATCGATTCATCTGTTGGACACGTAGTTTGCTTCTATATCTTGGCTGTTGTAAATAATGCTGCTATGAATATTGGGATGTATGTATCTTTTGTTTTCTTCAGATATATGCCCAGGAGTAGAACTGCTGGGTCATATGATAGTTCTATTTTTAGTTTTTTAAGGAACCTCCATATCGTTTTCCATAGTGGCTGTACCAATTTATATTCCCACCAACAGTGAATGAGGGTTCCCTTTTCTCCACATCCTTGCCAACACTTGTTATTTGTGGCCTTTTTGATGACAGCCATTCTGACAGGTGTGAGATGATATCTCATTGTGGTTTTGACTTGCAATTCTCTAATAATTAGTGATGTTGAGTATCTTTTCATGTGCCTGTTGGCCATCTGTTCATCTTCTTTGGAAAAATATCTATTCAGGTCTTCTGCCCATTTTTTAATCAGGATGTTCAGAGATGGTATTTTGAACATTACTAATGTGCTTTACTTATTTTGCTATTTCAGAGGAAGGGAGGAGATGGTATTATTGGGAAGGCAACCAAGCGTGTCAATTTAATTTATGTATTTCTAATTTACATCTTTTATATTTCTTTTTTTCATAGCCCTGTAAGCCCCACCACCTTAAATCCTTTTTAGAGCAAAGATTTAATTAAATTGTACTGAATTAAATTAATCTCCTCCCCAAAAATTTTAAGCCATCTGTAAATGCAATTTTGCTATATAACATTGCATTATATAGATGTAACTAAGTTGGCTTATTTCCAATTGTTTTGCTATTGTAAATTAAGTAGGATAAAAATCGTATGTTATCTTAATTGTGTTATGGATTGGGAGTGGGGGGCCGGGGTATTGGAATTGCCTTCATTTAATAAAATAGTTTGGTAAATTGCTAAGGAAGAGAGTCAGATCCAAAGGGATGCAGGCTAGAGCCAGAGCAGTAAAAGAGGTAGCTAAACTGGAACATGGTCTTTTGGCAAATGACAAGAACACAAGGGGGCTGGTGGAAATTTGGCATGCCTCGAAAGCCTCATTTTGGAACTGGCACAACTGTCAGTTCCACACGTATACCATTGGCCAGATTAAGTCATGAGGCCAAGCACGAACTCAGTGGGGTGGGGAAGATTACTCCCACCTACAGAGAAGCATGGCAGGAATAGAGAGGGAAGAAAGAATAGGACACAAATACAATCTACTAGTGAAAAGCCCCTAGTGATGGGGGTGACTAAGGCACCCTTAAGAAGAAATATGCCCAATATTCAGTTTGAAGTTGTTGGCATTTCTGTGCGGTAAACTCCCCTTACTTGCCTGTATTTGCCACAGTCTGCTATGTGCACAAATAGCTGATGGGAGTGGCATTTGTAAAAATTAAGAAAAAGATCTGAGTGTTAACTCTGGGTAAGCATTGCGTAGAACAGCACAACAGGTTTAAGACATCTAGTTGATCCCTATGCTGAATGAATCTAGCAGAAACAGAGAACCAGAGCTGACCGTAAGAAGACAAGCCCTCTGGGAATGTGCAGAAATCTTGGGGAGGACATTGATCTTTCCATAATTCATGAAACTGAGATTTTAAGCAATCCTATTTAGATCTTATGGAGCAGGGTATCTCCTTGGAATCAAATCTCAGAAGTGTAATTACTGATCAAAGGGTATGAACTTTTTTCAGGCTCTTGATGAGTAACGTTGAATTAACTCATGATGTTAAGTTCAAATAGATATTCAGGATTTTTCCACTTTAAATTTTCAACCATATTAAATACCTAAAAAAGAAAAAGAAAATATAGAACAAGCTTTGAAAATAAGAAAAAAAATATACAAGCAGATGCAGTTACTGAATTAAAACGCTCACTGAAAATAACTATGTTCTGAGCGATTTTATGTTTAAATTTGAAATTCTCTGATTCAGTGTTAATTCCTTAAAGCTTCACAGTTAAACCTGACCTTCAGTCCCAGGGAACCCAGGATGGCTGGTAATCCTACTAGGTGGGGAACGGGGGCCATCTATCCCAGACCTGAACTTGGAGAAAGATGAATGTGTCCTCTTTAGAGTTACTTAATGTGTTTGGTTGAGAAGCAGAACCTGAGAGAGTCTCTTGTTTAAGTGGTTTATTGAGGATGTGTTCTCAGGTGAGGGGGAGGGAGGGAAGCCGGGTAAAGCAGAGGAAGACCACTAAGCAAGAATGTGGTGTTCAGTGAAGACTGACTTCAGCCTGATCCCACGAGGAGCTCTAGAATAGGAACTGCACCTCCTTGAGGTGAGGGATCAGTCTGCTGTACCTCCACACAAGCGAGATAGCAATTCTGTTCTTGATCAGATCTCAAAATTAAAGTGCATCAGAATTACCTGGAGGACTTCTTAAAACAGACTGCTGGGCCAACTCCCTGTTTCTGATTCAGTTGGTCTGAGGTAGGGACTAGAGAATTTGTATTTCTAACAAGTTCCCAGGTATTGGGGATGCTGCCGGTCTAGGGACCACACTTTGAGAACTACTGCTCTAGATAAGAGGACAGCTGTGAGGCTTTAGCAGCCAATACCCACAGCATCCGGGAAAGGAGATCTGAGCACCGTCTACTCCAGGTATACTAACTTGGCATCTTCCTCATGAAGGCACACACCAGGGCTAGAAGATTGGACCACAAGCTGAGGCTGGGTAGATTACATTTTTAGGTCTGTCTAGACTCATGACATCCTATTATTTTCCTGTTGCCATCCCGCATCTCCAGCCAAAGCATTGTTGAAACATTCCAGTTCACCTCTGCCTTGCTATTGGACTTCAAGGGAAGGGTCTGGCAGGTACATGAGGCTTTAAAGAGGAAACAGCTGCACCTCTCTAGGCAAGTACAGTGGAGTCAGTTGCAATGAGTGGGAAGTCCTCAAAGGGGAAACACATATTTGGGGGCAAGACTCAAGTAGACCACCCTGGAAGTTTTTGATGTCTATTTGTTTTTAAAATTAAAGGAAGATGGCTTTGGAAGGCAACCTTTAATTTCGTAAGTCCCACCAGAGCTCGTAACAAACAGCCCCCACCCCTGGGGATCACCACCAGCTGAAGCTGAAGGTATAGAAGTAGTTGGAGACCTTGGCCGGTAATGGACTGTTGTGTGAATAGTGTACCTGGTACCCTTGGGCCTTAATGTCCATGTTCATGCAGTCCAGGAGGTCCCTGATATCCAGGGCTGCCTTCCAAGGCCCGAATTTGACGACTGACCTCTTGTCTGCCTCCAGGGAGCGCAGGGCGTCCGCGCAGTTTGCATCATCCTTTTCGTTTTGTACCAGGCACACCAGAACTCTAGAGCAGCGCGCCGCCACGGCCTCAGCACGCGCCAGGCGCACCATAAGCTCCAGGTTCTCACTGTAGCCTGGCACCTGCAGCAAAAACTGCTTCCGAGCTACCTGCTCACCAAAGATCTGTGGCATGTCCTCCAAGAGTTTGATTAAAGGCTTGATTTCGTAGAACTGAGCCTCACGGTACACCTCGGGGATGTGCTGTGTGGGCAGCTGCCCACTGCGTAGGTATTCCAGGATGGGTCCAAAATAGGTGCCGCAGCGATCGATGAAGAAGCGTCCCTCCGCATCCAGGCAGGCCTTGGCGGCGCTGGAGAACATCTCTGCCAGCTTTGAGTCTGGGAGTTTTCTCAGGGTGCCCAAGGTGGTGGTATAGAACTCACCCCCAACGTTCAGCTCCACTACAGGAGATTCCTGGGGGCACAAGAGGCAGAGTGAGCCCACAGCGCCATCGCCAGGGAGCTCATGATTTATTCTCATCCAAAGAACAATACCCTACAGAATTTAGGGGAGCCATAATGATTGGCTTCAGCTTATTGGAATGTCCATCTTACTGAAGGGGGTTATATTTATGCTGTACAGCTACAGAGAGTAGGCATTTTAAGGAAGAAAAATATTTTAGTTTGATATAAGAATACCCATTCAAGCATTTGCATTTTCTCATTTAGGTCACAGAATATTAGTGGAAGCAAGTCACACGGACAATACCTCTAAAGCGTGTGGCCTGTGGCAAGGCTTTTTCCCTCCCTAGGCCTCAGTTTCCTTGTTTATAAAGTGAGGATATGGGGACTTCCCTGGCGGTCCAGTGGTTAGGACTCTGCGCTTCCACCACAGGGGACACCGGTTCAATCCCTGATTGGGGAACTAAGATCCCACATGCCATGTGACACGGCCAAAAAATAAATAAATAAAATATAATGAGGATATGGAGCTATTGTGAAGTCAAGAGTTCCTGACAGGGATGCTTAGATATAAGATACAGTAAAAAAAAAAAAAAAAAAGTGGGTGGGGGGAGGTTGGGGGGTGCAAAACATTTTCAACCTTTCAGAAAGGCTAAAGAAATCACACATGTATTCATTCAGGAATCATTTCTTTGTTACTTACTGCATATCCACATCCGTGCTGGAAGTGGGGATAAAAATTCTTATTTCATATAGAGCAGAAGTTCTGATTAGCAGTTGGCATGACTTTGATTAACAAATGTAATTTGTCTGATGGGTATTTTTTCAAAATATAGGCCCATGGGATTAAATAACAAGAATATCCTTGGTGGTAACAAGGTTGGTAACACCAAATACAACAGGCGTAAAACTGCCCCATAAATGGTAAAGTATGGTGCAAATGTAAGTTAGATTTAGCTGTTCATCAGGATTTTTAGAGGCCTCTTCTCTAGATCAGACCTTGGGCTGAGCACTAAGGACGTGGGTGAGACCCATGTGATATCTGTCTGGAGATGCCCACAGGCGAATGCAGAGAGGGACCTGGAAAGAGACTGAGGGTCGGGCTGCATCTGGGGAATGCTGCCACACAGACCTAACAAAAATACCATAATACTCTATAGCAATTATTACACATGAGGTGATACACCGGTTGTTATCCTTACAAACCCAGCTTCCTGAACAACTTCCATCTTTTAAAATTCACTCACTCATTCAATAAAACACGTATGTGCCTATTTTGTGCCAGGTAGCTGGGACACAGTGAGGAACAAGCAGGACACAGAACCTCCCCTCACAGTCTAGTAACTGTGCAAAGTGCTTTACATACACTCTGCAACTCAACCCTCACAGTAATCCTATGATGAATGTATTAAATCCCCATTTTCCAGATGAAGAAACTAAGGCTTAAGGAGGTGAAGTTCAAGTTGCTTAAGACCAACCAGCTACTAAGCGATAATGTCAGGATTTGAACTCAGGTCTGATTTACCACTTAGTCATTACATAAATTGATTTTCAACCTTCAAACACCTCCACTCTTCAATCCCTATTCATCCAACAGAATGTAGAGAGGACCTATTCCACCCAAGCCTCCTCTGAAGCAGGTGGACAGGACAAGGTCCCTGCCCTTGAGGAGCTCATAGGGGAGAAAGGGAAACAGAGGGCTTAAATGTGTAGGTGCTGATGGGGAAGACTCAAAGGTAGAAGGGATTGGCTCTTTTTGTAGATGTGTGTTGGAGGTTGTCAGGGAAGGTTTCCTAGGGGATGTGATGGCTGCTGCTGTGGAAGAGATCTACAGTATTAGGGGGAAGGCTGGATTTCCAAACTGGAGACTCCACTACAGGTCATTACAGGGCCAGGGATAGGGACAGAACTCAGGAATGTCCTTCAGTCAGATTTAGGTGTGACTTCCTTTTCAACTTGTCTGTGGGCTCTACCTCTAAGATTAAAGTACTGGAATTAAGAGAACTCAAGGCAGCCAAACTGCTGGGGAGAACTGAGTTGCCATGGCAACAGCTCCTACCAAGGGACAGTTCTGCTAGCTGGAATGGAGAAGGGAGAAAAGAGGTTGCAGTCTGACAGCAGCCAAACAATACAGCCCTGAGAAAAATAAGCCCAGAACCTGTGACACCCTCTTTCTCCCATAAACCTCAAGGCTCCTTGGCAAGGCTGTTTGGTTAGCCCTAAGGCGGCTCTGTAAAGCAGGCAGTTAAATGTGAATTTGCAGACTTTAACCCCTGAATGGATCAATGATGGACTCTCATCACTCCTGTACCACTGAGAGCTCTTAACGTCCCCACATTACAGGTGAGGAAAGCTCAGGAAGAGGGGTCACACAGCTAGGAGGTGAGGAAGTTGGAGCTGGGATCAAATCCTTATCAGTCTGACTTCAGGACAGTGTGGATGCCCTACCCCCACCCTCCCAACATCCAGTCGCGCCGCTGCCAGTAATTAGCTATGTTCCTAGGGCATCGCACTTCCTTCTCTGGGCCTAAGTTTAGTCATCTATCAAATAGTGAGGCAAAATCAATGAAGAGAACTCTAAGACTCTCCAGCTTTGAAAGTTTAATGAATCCAATCACTTCAAATGTTGTTTCTGAAGCTCATTTCCAGATGCTACACAAAATAGTCCCCTGCCCTGATATTCGCAGCCCCATTTCCTTATCAGCCAAGACCTGGGCCCTGTTCCCAAGCTTCCTAATTATGTCCCTTTTCCCTCCATGTTTTCTAAAAACTCCAAATCTCTTTGGAAATCCCAGACCTCCTACCTCATCCATAAATACTACTGTGTGTGTTTCGAGCAGATAAAGACTTCTTTTCCATCCCTCTTCCAGACCACCTGCCCTTCCTCATGGCCCCTCTTCCCCACCTGTTCTACCAGTCACCCTGCTGAAGCATTCCTGGGTGGGCAAGCCTGACCCAGGCCCTGTGTGCACAGGCCGGGGAAATGTGGTCTTTAGGAGCCTCTGCTGGGTACCAGGCTACTGCTGGCCACGAGGACACAGGGATGAATCAGGCCCAGCTCTCATCCCACCAAACATTCATACATTTCCTTAGGTCACACTTAGTCTAGTCAGTGGAGGGACACCCCCATTCATATGTCTCCCAAGCCCAAGATCTCTCCCCACACCACAACTTTGACCTTTTCCCACTGTACCCTATCTCCGTCGTCTGAGCCAGAAACGTAAACTCTAATCTTGCACTCTGCTCCTGTCCTCAACCTCCCCCCACACAGGTAATCAGTCACCAAGTCCTGGCCATTCTAAATGTGTGGTCAGTTCCATGGCTCCCAGCTCCCTCGAATATCCTCCCCCAATCCAGTCTCTATTCTGAAACCAAAGCAGTTTCTCTGAAGCAGAAATCCAATCTGGTCACCACCTGCATTAAACACTTCAGTGATCCCACATTTCTTTACAGGTTAACTCGAGACTCCTTAACAAGGTTTACAAGGTCCTTTGCAACCCTGGCAATCAACTACCAGAGCCAACTACTGCTCCCCAACCCCAACCCATTCAGAGCAGGCTGGGCCCCACTGCCCCCAGGACTTCACTCATTTAACACTCCCAGTCCCTTCAGTCAGCCCACTCATCCTTCAAGGTAATTCCTCTGGGAATTTTCTGGATAGGTTGTCTCCTTGTGATTTCAGAGGGCCATGTACTTCCCCTTGTCATGGTAGTTACGTCTCTTGTAATTCTGTTCCTTCATCTGTATCCCACACTAGACTGGGAGGTTCCTAAGGGAGGACTACCCCAGATTCATCTTTATGTTACCAGTACCTACTACAGTGCTCAGCACACCAGGATGCTCCGTAAGTGTCTGCTGAATTGAACTGCACTTACCCTCAGCACTGACTGACAGGAGCGCCTGGTATTCTGATAAAGGCCAATCTTGCCCTACTTGGCATCATGCACGGTGCTGGCTTCCTCCTTTGCCCGGTAATTAATTCAGACATTTATTGGGTACCTTGAGCGGCCCCTGCCTCTGAGCAGGTGACATTGTCACTAGCCAGGAACAATGAGGTTATCGTCATCCTATTGAAAAGAGCCACAGTCGCCCCACCGCTGGATCTGCTTTCCCTTCCTACAAGTCTTCAGGATGGCACGTAGCCAGGGAGAGGTTAAATGCTCTGATCCTTGAGTGCTCTGGGCTTTTTCTTGATCCTCCCCCCACCCCCCGGGCCCCCCACCCTAGCCCTGGGAGGGAACGGGCAAGCAGGAGGACTCAGGACCCAGCCAGAGGTCAGGGACAGGCTAGAGAGGATGGGTGAGGGAATGAATGATACTCTGGCCAGCCCTCAGTTGGGTCTACTCCCACCGGCAGGAGGGGAGGGGCAGAGGAAGAGCAGTGGACTGGGGCAAGCCAGGGGACTGAGAGACGAGACGCAAAGAGAAGGAGGAGACAAAGGCAGCCAAGCAGGAAAGAGGGCATAGAGGAGAGGCTGGACTGAGCCGGAACCGGAACCGAGGCTGTGGCGCGGAAGGAGAGATCAAAGCGTTAGGAACTGACCAGGTGAAAACAGAGCGCCCAGCTGCAGGCCGAGACGGGCGCGCCGGAAACAGGGGAATTCAGACCCGCGGGGAGGGAAGGACGGGTGGCCCTGGAAGGAGTGAAAGAAGGGAGAGGCGCGGGGCCGGAGCCGGCAGGGTCTTCTCGTCCACCGCGGGCTTCGCACTCACCGTCCGCCGGCCCGCGGGGGTCACGGCCCGGCGCAACGGCCGGGAATCGGGCGCCGAGGTCAGGCTCATCATCCCGGCCCCGCAGGCGCTGGCGCTGCGCAGCCAGGCTGCCGCTCGCCGGTCCCGCACAGCCCGCCACGTGCGCGGTACTTGTGGCTGGCGGAAGTGCTCCTCGCTCCCGCCCCGGGGTGGGGGGAATCCGTACCCAGGGTGTGGTTAGAACCCTGATTGGGCTGGAGTTGGCGGCCTTGCGGTGAAACCTTAGGCTAGTTGCTGTCCCTCTGTTGCCTGGTGTTGCGGGACAGCCAAATGGGGGAGGCAGAGGGAACTGACATTGACGACCTTGAGACTGTCTCCACTCACTACAGTCCTAGGGGTAAAGGATGAGCGACACCCATTTTACAGGTAAGAAGAGTGAGCTTCCAGGAGATAGGGCGGCCAGTTCACCTCAGATCAGCTGCCGAAAGTGCAGAGCATGATCAGTGATGAGAAGAGCTAGGTACCTGTTGTGTGAGTTATTTTGCTTGTTAAAACATAATCCTTATGAAGGGGGGCATTACTCTTCTGTAGTATAGGCCTGCATAATGACCTTCCGAAGAGGACAGTGTGGAAAGAGGAGGGGAAGAAGAGTAACCGTACAGTGGGGAAAATGACAAACACAACTTCAGCCAGGTGATCAAGATCAACATCAGAAGTCATAAATCATGATGATAGTATGTATCCTTGATATGATGTGATGAAAATGGCACTTTTCCTCTGTGATCTTCCTCCCCAAAACCCATAACCCCAGTCTAATCATGGCAGTTCCTCAAAAAAAAACCAAAAAAACCTACAAGTAGAACTATTATATGATTCAGCAAATCTACTTCTGGTTATATATGAAGAAAACTAAAAGCAGGACCTCCAAGACATTTGCACACCCATTTCATAGCAGCATTATTCACAGTAGCCAAGAGGTGGAATATCCATCAATGGATGAATGATACATAAGCAAAAGTGGGATATATGTACGATGGAATGCTATTCAGCCTTAAAGAGGAAGGAAATCCTGTCACATGCTACAGCATGGATGAATCTTGAGGACATCAAGTGAAATAAGCCAGTAACAAAAAGACAAATACTGCGATTCCATTTACATGAGGTACCTAAAGTAGTCAAATTAATAGAAACAGGAAGTAGAAGAGTGGTTACCAGGGGCTGGGGGGAGAGGGAAAAGGGGAATTGTTTAATGGGTAGAGAGTTCCAGTTTTGCAAGATGAAAAAGTTCTGGAGATTCTGTTTCACAGCAATGTAAAAATATTTAACACTACTAAACTATACCCTTAAAAATGGTTAAGATATAAATTTCATCTTATGTGTTTTTTAACACAATTTTTTAAAATATGACTTTTGGTCATAAACTAATGGTACAGAAACTTGGAAAAAATAATAACAATAATAACCAGACAATATCTGGTGAAAAAAAATAGAGCTTTGGAGTGTGACAACTGGGAATGGAACCCTAGACCTGTCATTTACCAGCTGTGTGATCATCCATCACTTCCCCTCTCAAAAGAGCCCAAATTTCCTCTTTGTAAAATACATGCAAATACTTACTTTCTGGGTTGTTGTGAGAATTAAGAGGAAAAAAATCTATCGTGTTTCCCAAACTTCCCTGTTGCTAAGACTCTCTCAGAATGCTTGTTGAACATCATTCCAGAGCCCCACCTCCAGAGTACTGAAACCAAATTACCAAAGAAGGGCCTGGGAACCTGCATATTTAACCAGCATCGTGTCATCTTGGAAATTAGGAAAAAACTAGAATGATGCATTTACTGGCCTAGGAAGAATGGGGCTCAGTGAATGTCAGTGCCCATTCCCCCTGACTCTATGACAACACCCTTCCAACATCAGCCCATCCAGCCGTGGATAACTTTCCAATCTTTTCTTCCTCCCCATGTGTGTTGTCACTCCATTTAATGTTCACCCAAGAGTTACTGATACTGACCTTAGCTAGGGGTTAGGGACTACGGACACAAGTGTGCAAGACATGTCTGTTCCAAAGATATGAACACAAATAACTTTAATGAAAGAGTAAACAAGCATATGAAAATATGCTGGAAGTCCATGTTACTGGAAATCCTCCTACTAAAAAGCATCTCAAAATATTGAAAATATTGAATATATGTATGTCTATATGTCTGAGCTCTCAAGAAAGTCAAGGAACTTCTCTGAGGTGCTCTGAGATATTTGAACACCAACTCCATGGACTCCCCTGGGATTATCTCCAACCCTGAGTAACCTAGAACTTTGATTTTCAGGGGAGAGAGAGTAGGAGACAAAGTCTGGGCCACTCACAGAGTTGGATGTCAGATCAGAGACTATAAAAGGGTAAATTATTAAAAATCCACCACTCAAATGTGAATGCTGTGGAAACATCTATCTCATTCCTCGGTTCTGGGTAGAGAAAAGTCTCCCCTGAAAAATTCTGGCAATAGGCTAGAGCTCAAATAGATCCAGGGTCCAAATATTCATTTTTTTCATGATCAACAAGAGCAACAACAACAAGGAACTTAATTTAAAACGGACCTGGATTGGTAATGCCCCAGATGTCTGACAAAATGAAAACCCTTCCTGGAGGTAAGTGCACAGTCAAACCAAGCCTCAAAGAATTCACACAGATAGCAGTCCAACAAATGCAAGCTCAGAATCAAAAGTCACCACAAAAGGACACAAGGTACAGTGAGCAAGAGTCAATAGATCCACAAGCACCTCAAATACTGAGATTACTGGGTATAGAATATAAAATAAGTGTTTACTGTGCTTAAATAACTATAGAGAAGGGTGTATTTAAAACCTGAGTGAAGACCAAGAAGATATGATCAGAAATGACCCGGCAGGCTTCCCTGGTGGCGCAGTGGTTAAGAATCTGCCTGCCAATGCAGGGGACACGGGTTTGAGCCCTGGTCCTGGAAGATCCCACGTGCTGCGGAGCAACTAAGCCCGTGCGCCACAACTACTAAGCCCGCGTGCCTAGAGTCTGTGCTCTGCAACAAGGGAAGCCACCACAATGAGAAGCCCGCACACTGCAACAAATAGTAGCACTTGCTCACCGTAACTAGAGAAAGCCTGCACACAGCAACAAAGACCCAATGCAGCCAAAAATAAATAAATAAAATAAATAAATTTATATTAAAAAAATGACCAGGCAGATTTGAAAAAAGCCAAATAGATCTTCTAGAAATGAAAAATAAAATAACTGAAAAGTTACTGAAAATTACTAGGGGTTGAGAAAATGCAACCAAAGGGAGCAATGTTGTACTATTTTTCATCCATCATTTTGGCAAATATTGAGAGGAATAACAATGTGCCAGAGTGGGTAAAGATGTAAGAAAAGAACTCAAACTTCACTGATTGGATGTGAACTGCTGTGATCTTTTTTGGAAAGCAATACGGCCATAGCTACTAAAATTAAAAAAAAACAAACATATCATTTGACCCAATAATTTCACTTTTGAGAATCTATCGAATAGAACTAAAAGCACTTCTCTGAAAGGATATATGAACAAATATGTGTATTACTGTTTTGTTTGTGATGGCAAAAATTAGAAATGTAGACATATGGTTGAATAAACCATGGTTTGTCCATGCCGTGGAATTCTATGCAGCTATTTAAAAGAGTGAGGTAGATCTACATCTGTTCACTCATCCATGATTTATTAAGCAATTAAAAATAAATATCAGAGCAGTGTTTACTACGGAAATTCAGTAAAGACAAACATAAACCTCCTCATATAAATTTATATCTATTTATCTGAGCGTATACTCAGAAAAGTGTAGAATGATACACAGTGGGTGTTACCATTGGTTATTCAGTAGGACGGGATAGAAATGAAGAGGGGAAATTATTGATTAAGAAATGTTTTTCTTAATACATGTTTGTATTATGTCACTAGTTGCAGTGAACATGAAAAAGTATAAAAGAGCAAAAGAAAGAAAAAGAAAAGGCAATAACATAACACAAGAAGAAGGCATTACAAAAGGAAGTTAGCTTTTCAGTTTGAGGGGCCTGGAAAGGCTTCAAGGAAGCGGTGGCACATAAGCTGGGTTTGAAGCGGGGAGAGATTAGTTGAGAGAAGCCTGCGGGGGTTTCCTCCCAGCAGAGGGGTCACCTGTGCCAAGAAAAGGAGGAAAATGAAAGGAAAATGATCATGTGTTGAACACCTGCACTGAACACAGACTCTCGTATCAATTCTTCCAAGCAATTAGACTTACTGTACAGGTGAGGGAACCGAGGCTCAGAGAAGTTCAGTGAATGGCAAAAAGCCACACAGCTGGTAATTGGCAGAACCAAGCTTAAACTCCATGTCTTTCTCACTCCAAAATTCTTTTTCTGTGACTGGAAAGAATTGCTTTGTATCTGGCTGCTATGATCTGAATGTGTCCCCCCAAAATTCATGTTGAAACCTAACCATCAATGTGATGATGTTAGGAGATGGGGCATTTGGGAGGTGATTAAGTCATGAGGGTGAAGCCCTGAAGAATGTATTAGTGCTCTTATAAAAAATGAGACCCCCAGAGAGCTCTCTAGCCCCTTCCTTCTACCGTATGAGGACATAGCAAGAAGATGGCCATCTATGAACCAGAAAGCGGGTTTCATCAGACACCGAATCTACCAGCACCGTGATCTTGCACTTCCTAACCTCCAGAATGGTGAGAAAAAAATGTTTGTTGTTTATAAACCACCCAATTTACAGTATTGTTGTTATAACAGCCTGAATAGATTAAGACACTGGGCAAGGTGTGTACCTTGAACATTATGACTTGCAAATGGGATTGAGCCACGGGGAGGCAGCTGTGATCTCCTCAAAGCAGGCTTCCCTGCCCACTGCATCTAGGTTAGGGAGCTTCCCATGGGCCGGCTCCACAAGGCACGTGTCCCCCCTTCCCCTTGCATTGTCTGACTCCTCCCAGAGGGTTGATCAACCGCATGGGCCAGGATGATTCCATGGGGAGGCTGAGTTCTGAAGGGTCATCACCCCAGAAAGGAGGGCCGGACAGTTGGAGGGACAGTGGGCACTTCTGACAGCACCAAGAACCCTGGGCGCCATTTCCTGTTTCTCCCCCAGCTCCAGCTGCCCTGAAACAA